CCTTAGGATAGGCCAAAACCCACTAATTAGTAGCGACCGTACGGGATCGTGGTAGTTTTATCAGGGTCCCTCTGTATTCCCATCGTACCTCTGTTAGTGGAGCAGGGCAACTGGTAGTCTGCACACTCGACCCTCCTGGAGCGTAGCACCAGTGATGACCAACCCGAGTCCGGAAGGCTTTTTCATTGCGAGAATCGCCAGGGTCTGCATGATAAGCGATCAAAAGCTTCCACTCAAAACTTCGATCAGCTAACCCGAAGCCCAAGAAAACGGTTCTCCAGCCCCAAAGAAAGATGCAAGAAGCAAGCCGACAAGTGTCCGCGCCCAAAGTGCCCTTGCTGTCATCGACTTTGGATGGAATTCTGCCAGAACTGCTCATGTGCATTGCTGGAACCCTGCTTCTACTCCAACCGCTAGTTCTTCAAGCCCAGGCGGCAGATTACCGAAAGCGAAGACACACCCAATTAGCTTCACGTCTAGGCGTTATGCCCCAAACCCTCCACAAGACCCAGTGATTTAGGGTGGTGGGTTTCGCAACTAGGCTTTAGGGTTTACAAACTGAATTCTGTTGCGGGTTTACGTAATCTTTGAGTCCTTGTGCCGAAGCCCGATACGGCGCAGGAAGGATGTCGAAAATGACTCTTCCATGCTGGACACTTCGCTACAGAAGTGCCCTTTGCATTTGCAGGGTCATGCCTGCTTCGAAGGTCAGTGCACTTCGCAAGTAGGTGTCTAGACGTGCATACAAAGTTGCCCCTTACTGGCTTGAACGCGTCTTGACCAATCCTCACTAGTTTTGGCTTTTTTAGAATTAGTCCGTTTGATTTGTTAACCTAAACCCTAAACCCTAAACCCCTAAACCCTAAACCCCAAACCCCGAACCCCTAACCCCTAAACCCTAAACCCCAAACCCTGAAACCCTAACCCCTAAACCCTAAACCCTAAACCCTAAACCCTAGTTTAGGGTTCAAGGTTTAGGGTTTTGGGGCTGCAGGTGCGGGGTTGGCTTTAGAGCATGGCCGGAAGGCTCGGGCCTGTCGGTGCCAAAGCCGGGAACAGTACCCGATGAGTTTGAGTTTAGGGTTTAGGGTTTAGGGTTTGAGGGTTTAGGGTTTAGGGTTTAGGGTTTAGGGTTTAAGGGTTTAAGGTTTAGGGTTTAGGGATCTGAACAATTCATGAGTAGTTAATGTGGAATCTTGGCCCTCCCTTGTTCTGTGCTACACTGTATTCAACTCTCCGTTTCTCAGGGAGCTTTCGTCCAGCAGATTCGGGCTCTTGTTGCAGATATGGCAGTACCATAAAGTAGTTCCTTTTTGGGGTTCATATAGCATCCTATAAGGTAATCCCAAAAAGGAACTACCATGGGGCCTGTGAGTAGACTCACAATCCTTGTCTAATTGTTCACGCGATGTCTGAGATACTTGAAGAAGGCTTCGCATCCAGAGCCGCAGTCAAAGCTTCGGCGGCTGTCGGCTTGTCTGGGACTGCAGCACAAGAGATTGCTGACATGTCAAGGCCCGCACACTGACTGCGTCTATAGGATGGGATTGGCTGGATTAACGTCATATGAAGCGCGGGCCCTGGTAGCAAGGTGACTGGATGCTTGACCGTCAGAGGCAGATATCAGACACCTTCGTTCCTTGTGGCAATTTAGGCTGTGCCCCTGAAAAGGAATATACCAAACCTATCAGACCCTTGCAAGACCATCAGAGTTCATCCCAAGAAAGCCCCACAGGTATTCTCGCGAGCTGATGAACAAAGTGTCATCAGCCGATCTTCGCGCGCACACGCACTCCAGGACGCCCGCCACAGTCCAGCCCTTGGGCTCAGGTTTAGCGGTTTAAGGCTTTCAGGTTTTCAGGGTTTGGAGGTGCGGGGTTGATGTATTTGGGAAAGGCAGGCACCCGCCGAGGATGACATGAAGCCAAAACCCAAAACCAACCTCGGAAACACCCAAAACGGTGGAAGGTCGGGTGATGTTATGAAACCTCTATGAGCCCTGAACCCTGAACCCAACCGGAACCTCATGTGGATCGAACATTCTGCCCGAGAAATGAGCACGCATCGGACGCTCTCAGCTTTATGTGGGCCTTCGCCGGTCTCTTGTAAGCAGGTACTGTACAGGCCTAAATCATCACCGACATTATGTCTTAGGGCTCCTTGTTGGTAATTAGTCAACACATAAACAGATGAAGGGGATATAGTAAATTACGAATTATTAAGTGTAGTATGTGGTTTGTTGTCGAAATAGAAACCCGAGGCTCACCCTGGTATGAGAATGTTGGAGGCATAGCAAGGCTAAAGGAGAAGAGCCCGCTATAGGGGCCTAAATGAATACCTATACTATTGTGGTTCCTTTTTACGAATTATATAGTCTAACATACCCCAAAACCCTAATCCAATTATTAAGGCTCCTACATCACACAAGTCAAGCTCGAAACCCCGGCCCTGAACCCTAAACCCTAAACCCGAAACCGGAAAGTCCAGGCAAGAGTTCTAGAATACAGTTCTCGGGATGCAACTTCGAGTGGAGCTTTACATGTCTTTGGGCTTGAAGCTTCCCCTAACCCCCCAGGTACCTACTATACAGGGCCTCTAGTACCCTATATAGTAGGCACCTGGGGGGGTTAGGGTTCAATCCCGAAAGCATGTTTTGACAGACCATCCAGAATGCTTGCGTAAATCGCGAAGATCAGAGGACTTAGCATATATATATATATATATATATATATATATATGCATGCATATATGTATATATGTAAATAAATATACGGAGTTATATCTACCTTACTTATTTGGTTATGATACACTCACATGTCATACCTTACTGCCTACGTCAACTCGACTCTAGTATCCCCGCTGGCAGGATCAAGCTGATGCGAGAGGAGCAGGTAGAGAATGCGAAGGAGGTCCCCTGGTCAGCGATCCCCTTACGTAGCACATGAGTCCGTAATTAGGCACTAGACCCCATGGAACCCTAAACCCTAAACCAAGCCCAAAACCCAGAACCCCGAACCTTGTTATTGAACTCGGCAATCCTTACTCTAGGCTGTATATATTTTCCATAAAATCTTGCAGTTCGGTGTCAGGAACACCAGTAGTGGTTATGCAAGACTGCTTGTGGGGACTTCGGCCATTGAACCCAAAGGGTCCAAAGTACCGTCATAGTAGAATGTAGGGTTTCTATATTAGGAATTACCGTTATGATTTAAGGAAGTATCCGCCATAGCAGCACATAGGACCCTTTGAATAAATGCGCAGGGTGTCCGTGAAGTTTTTGGGGTTGAGCATTGAAGTATAATGGATTTGTTGGTTGTTCAGGCTTGATTGAAGTGAATCCTGCACCACTAAACCTTAACCCCTCCCCCGATTGATGTTTATGATGAAGGGTTCCATGAACATGGATAAACCCTAAACCCTAAACC